ACATACCGAACTTTCCAATAAGCGACTATTGATCGAACCACGATATATGTTTATTTTCTTACAGAAGACGCAATGGAAAATACCTATTTACCACTTTTCTACTCAAGCCACCATTCATGTGAAATTTCCATGGCATTTTCCTAAGCAGGACAGTCGAAAGCTTCCGCAATTGAACAGCATGAGCATCATCTTGGTCTTTTGACCTCCGTAGCCCGTCTGGCGTTTACTGCAATATTTATCAATGCAGCGCCTATTTGAGTTTCGTGCGCTGCTTTGCGGTACAGCATAAATTCAGGCGTTTGCTCTTAGCGCCATCTAGGAATGGAAATGTAACATAGGCAAGTGTTAACGTCGGGGAGAACGCTTTCCCGTTTATTTTTGCTTTATGATTGCTTGGTTGGATACTGAATATCCTTCAATTTAGCATTGGAAGAAAATGTGGATTGCTTAGATGAATACGTTTCTATTTCCAAATGTGTTTGCAATATCTAAATCTAGCCCCTTATTTTAACTACCTTTTATCACCCGTGTGTTAACTGATTCTGGCATTTATGTTTTTTTTTAAGTGAAATATCATACTTTTTACGTCAACTGATTATCTATCACGACTCACGACTTATCCATTCCTGTGGACACAATTAGCACTGCTACTTTTCAACACATTTCGGGAGTTACATTTAGCTTAGCAAATATCCCAATTCAGTCGCCGTGCAAAAATGTTTTCATATTAGCTCATACCATGTTCATTGCTCATGGATTTGCCTGCAACGGGCAGTAAGTACAAGTCCTCAGCTGATCCCTGAGTCGGTGGCCGCACCAGCTGGTGGCCTGACGGACTGTGAGGACGGGCTAATCGCCCAGGGAAGGTGATGTGCCAATGCCGGATCGGGGCGGTTCCATGTGGCTCGTGTGGCGCAATCGGCACCGGCCGGCCACCAGCGGACGGGCTAATTCACGGGGCTGGTCCGGACACACCTCGACAGGTGGTGGGCCGACGGTCGATCGGCATACGCAGAATAGAGTGGTGTGATAGGTATACCTAAAGGACGCAGATCGCAGACGCCGAAATGGACTGGACGTGTTGTGCGTTTTGTGAAATTTAAAAAAAGTTTTAAGTAGGATAGTGCAGTGAGCGTTGAACGGTGAAACAAACTGAGAGGCTGACTTTCTTTTGGTAAGCACATCGTAATGCTTCACGTTTTAATAACATCATAATAGATCTTTTGCACAGAGATGCAAACGGCATTAGCAAATCATGACAGCGCCGAACTCAGATATAGGTATTCATCCATCGACTGTTGAGAAACAGAGATGTTCAGTTGCGAGTTGCAGCACCTTATGGCATTGATGCATCACTCTCTAGCAAAAGATGCCGATACGCCACCATCATCCCTCGTGAGTAGTTCCCCATTCCACAACATGTCACAACTCACATCTGAATGACGTATTGCGTAGTTTGCTATCGCCCTAAAGAGGATTCCACTTGGGCGATCATGCATCAGAAGTGCAGAGTCAGTCATCTTTCAATGGCTGATCCATACCATATCGCTGATTAGAAGCTCCGACATGAATCGCCGTGATTTAACGCATTTGTTCTCAATGCATACAGATTTAGGCAGTTGTGTGTGAGCCTGGATTCGGCATCAAAATTGATGCCGCCGATTTCTGAATGTCTGATTCCCTCCTAATGATACCGTCTACTATCGAACGACACAATTACTAACTATTTACTGGTATCGTCGACTCACGAAAGTAATTGCGGCTGTATTCATGGCCGCGACAAACGGAGACCATTCAAGGAACCTTATGCGGAAAGAATCTCTCCATTGCGGTTTACTTACGGACACAGGCTATCCTATGCGTGACTGTCATAGCTTCTCGTGTCGTGTGTAACCACGGCAACCGAGCTGCGGCGCTGTGGTTCGAAGTTATCAGTGGCAGTGACCACGATAAACGAGTGTTGCGCCGCTCTGGTAGGAGCTCGTAGCTGCGGAGCTGTCCATTGGTCCCCGCCGCAGCTCTCGCCAGTAGGTAGGTAGGTACGCCTAAAAACGACACGAGGCGGTCGCGTGTTGCGGCCGACACGGGTTTGGAAGGTGATAAAAACGGACCAATTGCAGCTGTGGTGATTGTAGCTCCCGTAAACACCCCAGTTGTTATGCCACCCTGTCAACGAGTGAAGAGCTGTGGTCATGTCTGGATGACCAGCGACCGACCACAAATAGCTGGACTGATCCACGGGTAAAAAGACCCACTTGAAACAAGGATGTTCGGATGTTCCACAGAGAATGTGGTAAAGTGATCACTGGCATACCAGGCAATTAGCAGCCATAGTTGTAACGTCGTACCTGAAAGATCGAGTACCGTTCCTGATAAAAGCGGGTATTGACCTATCACCGTGAGAAAATAACATTGTCCAAATTCCATCTCACAGAACTTGTTCACGTAACAACCGAACCGGTGCCAAAAGGTCGTGCTCTCAGGGAATGTCAGGTGCATCGACACCTGGTTATCACAGACCAGACGCAGTTCAATGATCCAGCCCGGGGTCCAATCATGCAGTAAATGTCGATCTTTTTCTGAAACCGGTAGCCGATGACACAATTTGACACCTGCACTGCAGATTCAGACATGGAAGCCTGCTTTGCAGCTGCCTGTCCCCAGATGTGTTGACATAATCGGCCTACCGCGTGCGGCCAGTGGCACCTGGGAAGGCGTTATCTATAACCGGCCCCGGACCGCGGTATGTGGCTATACCCCGGCACCCAGCGGAGATTCTGTCAGCCGCCGTATACGGTTTGGTTGGACGGGAGTTGATGGGATTAGTTAGACTGGGGGAGAGGGTTTCGCCGGAGAGGAGGGCATGAGAGTCTGCTTCCAAGGAAATGCCCGATTGATAATGATGTTCTGTGAATTTGTCTCAGGTCTCAGCAAAAGTCGCTGTTATTGAGCTAAGTGCCTACCATTTTTCACATTATGCCTAGAAGAGCTGTAATTTATCCTGAACACGCATGAGAAAAACAAAATGTCTGCCACCCTCCCAACAGTCTTCCACAGATGGAGAAAGCCAAATAATGCATAAAACTAGCATTCTCATGCAGCACATTCTAGCGTATTGTTATGCTTCAATGTATTTGGCTTCTTGCTTGTATTGTATACTGTCCTTTCAAAAATATATAAAGAAAGAAATAACTAAACCGGTGATGAATCACGGCAAAATAATAAAAGGCTTCCTGCAGATCACTGCAATTCGGAATTCAGTCAAGTGAAACGCACGCACGAACACATGCTTTTGTTGGGGCCGGTAACTATATACCAACCAACCACACATTTTTATGTACAACAGCAGCTTTGAAATATGTAGGTACTTATACGAATAAGAGTGAGGAAGCAGCCTTGACCATGCGCTCAGGAGAAAATTGCTCGAGTCAGCACAACACCTAATGGCCGTCTTTAGCGCAGCCCGAGGTCAGTAGAGTGCTCGGGATGACCGACTGACCCATATCATCCGTGATGACACTGTCCGGATATTAGGACACGGATAAATTACTGCCCTACCGTAAATACTGAACCGTCCTACCTGGTTACCTTCCTGCCGAAGTCATATGAAACATCTCAAACCTTTCGAATCCGGGCGCATTCAGAACCATTGACAAAAGGTCCAACTAGAGGTCTCAAGTGGCTTATTGGCTTTTCCAGATCCCAAATGATGTCGATTATGACAAGATATGATGTACGGCCTTGACCATTTTTTGATCCGCCAGTGTCAACTCCTCGAATGGGCTCCCGCTAAAAGGATTAGCTCACCATTCTAGCTGCATGTTGGATGCTGCGAATCGTTTGAATGTATAGCACTGCTGTCTCCCACACGACTCTGAAGGTCGGCTGCAGGCTAAGGTCGTATGCCGTGGCTCACTCGGTTGATGTTCATATGCCAAATATAATCCGAGGCTTATAATGGCAGCGATACATCATCAGCGGAGTTGTAAGAAGGAATAAATGTCATTTTATTAATGCTAATCCAGCCGCCGAATGCGTCGTATTGACATGATATTTACTATTTGACCTTCTCGTAAAAACATTAGCAAAGCCACAGGCCAGAGATCATTGGAACGATGCAATAAACAAATTAAACATGGCAGTTCATTAGGCTATTCCATTAAAAAATCGTTTCCATTTAGTTCGACAAATAATACCCAAGCGTTGCTTCATGTAAATAAAACATTTTTTCTCGCAGAAATACGAAATAACATGAGACACACAATCACAATAACTTTGATTGACATATGCATTAGCATCTTGTTATGGATATTTTGTACCTACCAGGATATTGGAAAGCAGAGCCAATGGTTGCAATAGGATGCAGTCTTCATGCATGTATCTACATACCTACATAAGATAATTGAAAAACAACACATGCTCGTCGTATCATTGGTGCTATTTTGTTTGCATATCTGTGTGCGAACCAAGCCTCTGAGTGCCACATGGTTTCTTGTCTTGCCAAGTGCTATGAAAACGTTCAACGAGGGCTGACTGATTTCGGTTGAGATAGACACTCCATCTGCTTGCCTGAGTGACAGCAGACTTCAGTGTCCTTGTCGAAGGATTTGGCAGTTTGCGCTGCCGTCAAACCGTAGGGTATTTTTTAGATGCGGAATGAAAATGTTGATAGTGCTTTGACAGTTCACTTGCACAAAAATATCTCCAAGACCGGCACCTTGATTAATTCACGACTGTGTGAATTACTAATCGGATCGCAGGTGACTGTAAGAACAGCTGCAGCATAAACTAAACGGCGTTTCGTGTTCTTGATTGTTAGTAGCTGAATGGAATATGGATGTTTCATGTCCACATTGCACCAATTTGTACCTAACTGGCTTGTGTAGTGTGTACAAACTGTGTGGTGGCCCAATGTTTGACCCGGTAATAACGGTATGGTTCAGGTCACCCCTAGGACACGCTAAGGTGACCGGCGGGTCAGCAGCAGCCGTCAGTCTCACCTGCACCGGGGTTCAGCAGCGCCTGCCGCTTCTCCCTGGAGTCGCTGTGTGTGCTCTGTGACACGTGCTCCTGCTGTGAGGCAGCGCCTCCCCACGCCGCGCAGGCCAGGGCTAGTAACGCTGCTCGAACTCGCATCGCTGGCTGCCCTGCTCTCCCCACGGATCACAAATCACCACACTGTATGTCACACTTCTGCAGGAGACACTTGCCACTCCTCGCCTATCGGCTTTACTTATTTGGTTCACTGTGGACTAGCGAAGTATTTCGGAATTGACGCCGTTTTTTCACCACAACCTGGCTTTGTTTTGACCGTAGCGCGATTCGTCGCGGTTCTGAATGTCTAGAACACAATTCACTTTTCTTTTCCACGCTATAGTTAACGTTGGCGCATGTCTCCGCGCAGGGTCACTCCGTTTTGTTTCACTCACGAACCTCACTCACGGAGTATGGTGTTTTCGCTATGCACGTGCTACCACTCGGTCACGGTCTCACGCGCTGGAACCACGAGCGGGTCGCAGCTGTCTCGTGTCTCACACCGCTCCAGAATCGCCCGGAGTCTCGTGCCCGCTCCGCTGCGGTCCTCCTGAATCGCCTCTCCTGAGCCGGAGTCTCCGGAGCACCGGTCCCGCTCACCGTCTCCGGACAGACTGGGGTGTCCGGCGGAGCCGTCCGCACTCCGCCCCCGTCCGCCGGCGCGGCGAGTCCGCCCTCTCCCGCTCGACTCTCCGGTTCTGCGGTGGTCGCCAAGGACGCTGTGGAGTGGAGCGGACCGGCCCCGCCCGACCCCCGGGCTGGTCCACAGTCGCAGACAATACACAATACACAGAGAGACTCACAGAGGGACAGTCGGCGAAAGGCACACCGGTGCTGATGAATGGGGCTGTCAATCAGTAATAGCGATAGCTCGATGAATGCAAGCTGGAAAGTGTTACGTTGGTATACCGACCGGACATACCTGGAAGAACCACTCTGACCATGATGACCAACGAGGCCTGGAACGTCGGCTGAATCAGAGCGTAAGTCGCTATAGTTCGCTTTTGTAGTCGAAGCGAATATCAAGACGTGGTGATTGTAATAAAATATCAATCTAAAAAATACCCTCATAAGACTCAAAAATGATCTCATCAAATAAGCTTTGACCTTTATTGAAAAAACTAAAACTAAAGCTGAAATAAAAAGATCGCCTAAAACATAGGATATTCAATTACACATTAGTACCTGAGCGTCGTCGAAATCCCGAAATAATATCGAAAAAAGAAATGAAACAAAATGAAGAGTTCGGCGAGCGATGGTGAACGCGGTGGCTGATAGCAGAGGTCGACAGGTCGACAGGCGATGATGGATGGCATGCTGGCAGACGTCTTCACTCTTCACCTTTTTAGGTTTAAACAATTTGAGATGTGAAGTGAAGGTGGCGTCAGAATATTCGTGATACTCAGCGCTGCAAAGGTGCGCTGCGACACCTACCAGCGTGACGAAGTGACATGCCAATGTGACGCGAAGTGACAGCCAGTCTCTCGGAGGCCCCCGCGTGTGACAATTACAATTCAGTCACGAGCTCATGGTGCTAACCTCGCTCATCGAAATGGGACGTTATGAGAACGTGACATGAAACTAATTGCCTACAAGTCTGCACTAGGTGCTAGTTAGAAACGAGAAATGCTTCCGCGACGGCGAATGTATCCAAATGATGGTTCAGCCAACCCTTTAGGCTAGGTCAAAAGCGAGGCAGCAGAAACTGATAATAAATGACCACAGCAACCCCGCGATCAAGGATCTCCGTCCTGGCTCACTGGTTAGTTCCGCATTGTCAGTCGCTGCCCGCTGACCTTCGTCCTCGTCCCATGGATTTATCCATGTTTGGATCAGCGCCTCCGGAGAACCGGGTACTGGTAGTCACTTCAGTGACAGGGAGGGACAGGGTAAGCGGTAGTGGTGTCAATCGGAACTTGAATCTTCGGAATTCCGATTTTGTCCAATGTCCAATTCGGAATTCGGTTGGACAATGACAGCAGGCTTTGGACAACTTTGGACAATCGCTTGCTGCACCTCAACATTTTTATAAAGTAATTGTGTTTAACATTGATTGGCTATTAGAAAGCTCAGCTTTCGATATGATTAACACTTTTGAGCTGGTAACGATATATTAAAAGCAAATTGAATAACAGTGTTGAGTGTAAACTATTGCGTAGATGTCGGACATCTTTGGACAAATGGCTGGCTTGGACATTTTTGGACGGACAGTCGACGTAAGTTATTGGACATTGGACGAACATTGGACATACGTTTTCTGAATTTGACACCACTAGTAAGCGATGACAGGAACAGTGGACCGAGTATACGGTGGACTGTGGACGCGGTACACTAGACACTAGACAGAAAAATAGTAGATAGACGGTAGACGAGATGACAGAAGACCGGTAAACTGACGACTGGACTGATCGGGACAGGACAGTGACCATTCAGCAAACCGGACAGTCCAGGGCTGGTCTGAAAGCGGCACACCGACCTCTTAGTCGAGCCTGTCAGCTGTCGGCCTACCTGGCCGCCACCACACGCTCTCCGAAAGCCCGAAAAGATCAGTTGAATAGATTATTAGTTATCACGCATGAACGAACAATGCATGGCTGTAACAGTTTGTCTCGACTCTCGTTGTCTGTTACGCAGTGCAGCATTGCATCTGTGACCGTGGCTGGGGGCCGGCCTCACAAGAACTGATTCAGTTGTTCGGCCCAGTTCCGGAGAGGCCCGATGGCCGATGGCCAGCATTCAGCAGGCCTTGCAGATTGCAACAGCGTACCATTATCGGCGTTTAAATAGTTCAGTAGATGGCGGACGCCCTTCACTGGACAACGGGGCGCCCAGCCAAAGAATGACAGGAATGCGACCTTCGTGACCTGACCTGCACGACAAGCCGGGGTCAAGCGTTACGTCAATACAGTTCGTCATGAAAATGAACGTTTTTAACGAAATTCGTGTGTTAAGAAGCTTTATCGGCGATTAATTGGCTGCAAGTAGATTAGGATGATAACCGATGACTTTGTCAGACTGCTTTATACCTATATGATCGTGCCAGGTATTCACGTTTCAGCAATCATCGCAATGGACAGATATGCACCTCGGACGCACCATGTCAGCCGGTGCCACTGCGTATTCCCACCTTTGAGACTCTTGTTTAGCCCCATGTAGGCTCCCGTAGCCGTTTTCGGTCAGCAGCGACCAGTTCCCTGACCGTGACCTCACGACGACCAGCCGGAGGCTCTCGGCTCGAGCCGCTGGATTGATGAAAGTGAGAGCTCTCTCGTAGACATTAGACAGGGTGAGGCCGCCGCTAACAGAGGACGGGGCGGGGACGGGCCGGGGCGGTTGACTACGCGGCCTTCGCGGAAATTCCACACTCCACAGACTCCGCGCACACTTAACATCCCCAACGGGCAACGGCCACGTCATGAAGAACCTTTTTCAGGCAGATTTTTCACGTAATTAAATGTTAACGTGGATGCAGGGCACACATTTTTCCCCACGGCGATTTATTGTGAACCAATGATCAAAGAATAATGGATTAGTCATACAAAATCGATATACCTATGCGCTTTTGTAGGTAACGCAACTGCCGTTGCTCTATTTAATCACCCGGTGGTTTTGCTCAGAAAGCGGCAAGTTATTGGCGGCTAGCTAGAAATCGTATCGTATCACTATGTTATGTCGTCAGGGGCCAATTTGCCTGTTGGCTGGAAGTCAGGTCAAGAAGACAGAATGAAGCAAACAATAGACGGCTGAAGTTCGGCTCATCGACTGAAAACTCCCGAGTCGTTGCGTCACCCGAGCTAATCAGACCCGTCTCCGCCCGCCTGCGGATCGCTCGCCAAACCATCTGGGTCAGAGTCGATCTACGCGCTTGACCTCTTGGTCCTGCGCTCTCGGCCAGCTATCTTCAGCCCGGTCTCTCATGAAGGAGGATGGATTGCGAGTCTCCTCTGACTAGTTACACACCGTCCGTCGATCGTGCGTGCTCTCGTGCATATTTCAGCCAGTTGCGTGGTTCGGTCGACAGCGCTCGTTTGAAATAGATCAGCGGCGATAAGGACGGCGTTTCATGACCTCTGACCCCAACGAGGCGAGAGGTGAGGTCAGGTCAGGCCGCGTGTCTATTGTGCGTTCATTGTCTGAGGTCCGGGCTAGTAATGATTATCTTTCGCCGAAAATAGATGAAGCAACTCGCCAGTACAGTGGGTGCGCCCGGCCTGCATGGAGTCTATTTCCAACTTCATTTCAATTTTCAGCCATTTATTTACGCATCATGGAGTTGTTGGTTGATGCTTGATAATGACTTTTGGCATGCCTGATGTCTCAGTACCTAAAGTAAAGCGGGATTGGAAATAATCAAGAATTTTGCCATCATAATCGTCTAGGGGGCGACACAGCACAAGTAAGGAGATGATCGATGAACTTGAACGTTCTATAGGTATAAAGCAGGTAGATAATATATAAGCATGCATCTTTGTTGAGTTGCCTAAGCAAAGGTACCGTTGTTTCGCAACACTGCGTCGGGCATCCCAGACCCAATCCCCCAGGAACCAATCACCGGCAAGTAATCTTGTCACCGGCCAGGGGAAGCCAAAGCCATTGAAGCCTGAAGAGGGAGCTTCGCGTGCGGAACCCTACCCGTCAAACGGCTGTGTCCAGGCCCCTGTCCAAACTATAGCAATTAGCATATTGCTTCTCAGGGACTCGGGTGCGGCGGAGTAATGATACGGACCGCACTGACTGATTACTGAATAGGTACCCCGATAAATACGGACGATCCCTACGAAGGATTGGACTGGTTCGTCAACCTCGCTTTGAAAACGATCAAGGTTATAAATAGTAAACACCTATTACTATGTCCTATGTACCTATTATAAGTTACTATCAACTATGTCACCTATTAAACGATTACTATGCGTTTCAGACCCTGTGGAACAGTCCTTTTCGGCTATTTCTCGTTGTATATGCGTTTGATTTTAACCAAACTTTGGCATTGGTAGTTTGAGATCCCTACCTAATTTTTATCAATATGGTCTATTAACGAAAAATGAAAAATAAAGGCACTTGTCATTGACTGATAATGTTAAGGTCGTCAGAGCCCTGCTTAGAGGCTGACACAGGCTGGACGCTGTCTCCCCTCTGATTGGTCGAGACGCACTAGCACACTGCGGCTTGGCTCCGCCCACTTGCGGTCCAGCCTCGGGTCATGTCGGCGGCAGTCGCAGTCCGGCCGGCCGGCGTGTGGGCCGCGCACGCAGCGCGGCGGAGTGGAGCACTTGTTTGCATGTCATGAACTTTTAAAAAGTTGTTCTACGACAAATAAGGACGGAGGAAGAAAGAGAAAGGAAAAGGAGACAAAGTGACAATGAGACGAACGGTAAACGTTGGCTAGTGGACAACAAACAATATGCATATAGCCGCTAGAGCAGAGACAGGAGACGAAGACGATAGACCAGAGACAAGTGACGAAGATAGAGATTAGGCTATAGACGAGAGACAATATACTATAAACGTATAGACGAGAGACTGACAAGGGGGAGTGAAGGACGGGAGATCATGAACTCTCGATATTGCATACCTATCTACATTTTCAGATTGAGTCATCCTATATTTTTCCCTGTTTTATTGTTTTTCGGGCCTAAGATCTATCAACAA